TGCTTCACTGGAAAGTGCAGCCTCCTGACACGGTCATCTTTGCACTAGTAAAGATACAGAGTGCTAGAAAAGTAGTTCTGTGTAGAAAACATCGCTGTTCTGTGTTTGAGCACATTTAGGTGCTTGAGAGGATGACGCCTGAAGGGACTGTGCCTAGGGGCAGGGAAATGGTCATTTCACTTGGAAGGACTGGGAAAATCTCCAGAAGAGTCAGGAAAAGCACTAATGCTCCTGGAAAGGATTCACAACTCTACCACTGAATCAGTCAGCTCAGCACTCACTGGTCGGATGACACAACCAGAGTCTCTCTCAGCCTACACCTGCAGTGTTTCTGGGAACTGCTCGTCTGTTTTTTGTGCTTTTGCTGTTTTTTTTTCCTTCTTTTGTGTTTTCTATTCATCTTTGGACTTGTTCGTCAGAGTAGTTTAATAATGATAACAAAGCATATTTTTTAGAAGTTCACAGAATAACAGAATGGCTTGTATTGGAAGGAACACAAAGCAGACGTTCCTCTCCCTTGTTTGAAACTTGACATACTGTGTAATGCTGAATCGTCATCTTCTTATCCCTAAGGTACACAGACAAAAAGACTACAGGATCATTAGTTATACAAACACAATCCAATAAGCAAAACCTCAAGGGCCTTATTTTTTTCCCCCTTTCCATTAGATACTCTCAAAATCCCCACTTTGATAAAATGAAGATTCACAAAGGATAAACTGAAAGCAATTCCATACAGCACACTGCAATAAGGGATCTAGTTTAAAACACGTTATCTGTAAGGACAGAGAATGTCAAGACTTATAAGTCAAGATCAGCAACATCTCCATTTCTGAAGCTGTTATTTCCTAACATTAAATTGCAGGTAGGTTTTGGAAGAACGTAAGAAAAATTGTTTTCTATAGCAAGTTAGAATACCTGCTGATCTGTCTTGATGATAGCTTAAAAGTAATATCCTCCAAACTGTTTTACAACTTGCTTCATGTTTACAGAGTGCTCTCACTGAATCTGGTCCTGAAACAACTGAACTGCATGATTCTTGGGTAGATTTTAGAAGTTTACTGCTCCAAAACTCTGTCAATAACATTCAAGCAATTTAAGCAAAAAGGTAACATTAGAATTAAATACATTTTTTGCTTCACTTCTTGTTTGTTCTCCAATCCACCAGCTCCCCATTGCTACTCGGCTAACGTTTGGGAAATACTGGAGAGATATGATCTGCAATGAGCAAGGCTAGTAGGCTGAACAAATACAATCTACACAAAATCAGAAGCACTGGCCCTTCAAAATATTACCAACTTTTCCCTTGTCACTGCAATGGTCATTACAAATTAATTTTACAAGTAGAGTAGTTATCTCAATAGCAGACATTTTAGTATTAGCTCTGACATTCACTTTGCAGACTCCACAATACTCAATGCCAACTTGAGATATGCAAACAGAACGATCTGCAGCTAACATAATTCCTTTCATACTGCATTCCTTTCTGCAATTACACTTATACAGAACACACATTTACTTCTGCTTTTTATTTTATTTTATTTTTTATTTTTAATTGTGGTGTTTTTCTTCCCCTCCCCTATTCTTCCCCCAGGAACTCATCTGGTACATCTGGTGTTGACATGATTTAACATAAACTTGCAACATCCGTGCTGTATCTTCAAGACTACCATTCCTCACAAGCAGCAGAAACAAAACTTGCTTTAATCTAAGCTGCTTTAAAACATGACTGAAAAGAACTGAGGTGACACAATAAAAAAATATAAGAAAGATTAAAGGTCAGAAAAGCCCTTCAACAGATGAGTGAAAAACCTTTCGTGCTTCCTGAAGGAGGTTACGTCCATCTGCACATGAACCACCATCAAGGTCAAACTGATCTCAGTGCAGGTCTGAGGGCATCACTCAAGCAGTTCTACAGACCCTGCACTCCATGTGCCTGTTTGCAAGACTCCAACTGGCCATGCCTACAGCTTGCTCCTTATCACTTCCTTATCATTCTATAAGGAAACCCTGTGCCAAGCAAGGGTCAGCAGATCCTCCTTGGTCTGAACTGATTTCGTTTATCATCTCCATTTTTAAAAATTAAAAAATACAGAGCATATTTAAATTTGACACAATCCAGAAGATTTGCAAGCTTTGCAATTAAAGATAGCAAGATTTTAATTAGAGTAAAATGATTGTTCTTTTGAAAAAGAATCCTTTACTCCATGTTATCTGTGAATTAAATATTGGATTTTAGTTTTCCCTTTTTATACTATTTGTGTTTCAGATATTTGCTATGATTCAAAGGATAGGTGTTACATTTTATAAATGAAAAACTACAGAAAAGTAAGGTTATGCGGTTAGAAAGATAAAAGACTACTGTCAAATGAAAAGCTTAAATAAACGAATAGGTTTAATAGATTAAAAATCAGGTTTTGTTGTTGTTTATAGCATCAGCACTCATTTAACATCAACACAAGCATGACGATAGTGAAAGCATTTGTTCTACTTGAAATGGTATTTGTGATTTAAGTCACCAATGCACGTTAGTATTGCACAAAAGATATTCATACTCTTTATACTGTACTGTAAACCTACAAAAACCAATACCAAGCAGGTCAAAATCAGCGAGATCACACTTAAAATATTATTTAGATAGCTAATTAGTTTCAATGTTCAGATTCTATTTGTTGTTCTAGCCTCACTCCCCAGATCCTTCATTACGTCAGCTAATTACTTGAAATTTCTTTTGTTGAATAATGACTGTACTGAGCAGCTAACAAAACTCCAAAGCTGCATGTACGATTCAGAAATGCGTACATATATTCTACAAAACCAAACTGCTTTGCTGACATCTACAATGTCAAATTGTGCTAATTCAGACATTGGAGTGGTTGATTGGCCTTGCAAGTAATTCACCAACGATGCCAAAGACACAGCACTGCAGAAAGCGGACGTGCATCCTTCAAATCGCTCCAAGTCTGCACACACATTTTTAACTTCAAGTATTCCCAGATGCAGCCCAAGGGGAGGCCCAATCCTGGCCAGTAGAGATGCACTTTTAAGCTAATTCAGGTTGTTCACAAGCTCACTTTCTGGCCTGGAGCAGGACTGCTGCTGCATGCATTCACTGCTAAAGCAGAAGAGCAGGAAGAACGGAGCAATGCCATAAAACAGTGCCTATAGACCTGTAGGGAAACAACCCCCTGCTGCTCTCTCCCTCCCTGTCTTGGGCTGTGCAGAGGCTCAGAGTGAACCACATCTTTGCCTGGCATAGCACTGGACATACAGACGTGGGGAAAGCCTGGGAGCAGCAGCACAACTGTGTCTACTTAAAAACAAGGTGCTCTCAGCAGCTCAAAGGAGAGTTAAGCAAAACCCTTATTTTAAACTGTATTTTAAACTGTATTTTAAACTGTAACTTTGTACAAATCTCGTAAGATTGTTTCAACGTCAGAAACATCCGATATCTCTTCCAGAAAACAAACTACAAAGTAGTAGCAAAAGAAAAAAAATCCCATCTTTAAGTCTCCTGGAATTTTATTTTTCTGAGAAAAGGTGTTTGCAATTGACAGAGACCATATTAGTAACTTTCAGATTACAGGGAGGTATTCCAGATTACTGAACCAGTGCTGGCCCTCTGAACCCGCACTTAAGGATGAAACCTGCAAATCTCTCTCAGCTGTATTCAAAATGGGGAAACACTCTTCCTGATGGCAGTCAATGAGCACAGGGTGCAGGTATAGAAGGGGAGAGGTGAGAACAGAGGCTGCACAGCATGCTGCTGTACCACCATAGTCTGCCCACCTCACTGCAGACCCTCTCCATCCCCTCACTGAAGTTGCTGCAAAGAAACATGCAACTGCTCACAACAGACCCTGACTGTAGTCCACACGATGAACTATTTCACATTTTGAGCAATATTTGCTTGTTTCAATTAAAGCACACACATCCATACTATCCTCCCTCCTCTCAAATCACTCCAAACACCTTCAACTTCAAACAGCCAGTTCAGCTCACTCTTCAGAGCAACCTTCCATACAGGCCTGATGAAGAACAGGTGTAATCACATTCACAGGGAGAAAATCCCTCAAGGAACAGACCTATCAGCTCAAGATTTCTGACAGCACTGATCACTGCTTTCCAGTCTGTCCTCCAGGCCCACAGCCAGCCCCTTCTATGCAGCAAAGAGATGCACCAAGAGGAAATTTCTGTTTGCTTCGCATGCTCAAGAACTTTCCAGACCTTTATTAAATGAGATGAACTAGAACAATGAAAGGCTTCCCTCATTCAGGAAAAGTGCTATCATTACAGGAAAAAGAGTCATCATTGACTTAAGAGCATGCATTTTGGTAATCTGGACCCTACCACTTATGTCTGCTTTTTGCAACCTTGATGGTGCCATCATGTACAGAAATCATCAGCACAAATCACCACTGAGGACAGCACAGGGACCTCCTCCTTCCCCCTCACACACACAGTGGCATCATTAGGGATGGGCAAGCAGAGCATGTGCTGAACAACTGCCAAAAGTAGTCTGGGACACCTCCTGCTGCTCTGAGCAGTGATCTCAGGAAGCTAGGGAGCAATGTCTCGCACGAGACAACAGGGCATAAGGAGACCTGAAAGGCAGCACAGCTTCCCAGCACTGAGAACTGGTATCGTCTGGCAGAGTGGGAAAGCAAATCTCTGGACTGCTGATTGGTGCAGTGATAACAGCAGTGCTCCTCACAAATAAACCCATTCTACGGTAAAGGAAGCTTTGACAAAAGCTGTAGCAATCATCCCCAGCAACAGCAAGAATTTAAGATCTCCATTTAAACAAAAACACATCCTGAAGTTATTACATCACTGTATCCACAATGCATGCATTACCAATTGCATCTCTAATGTTATCAAATATCTTCTTCTGGCTTTGAAAGCAGGGCTCTGTTTAGTAACTTCTGAGAAGTTATTTTAATTCATTCACTCTTAGTATTTGAAATCATAGTTAAGCATGCAGTACTGTAGTTTGGTACCTCCAAGACAGCCAACAAGTGATATCAGGAACAGCTGTTTCCACAGCAGCAGCATCTTCAGTTGCCTCAATTCAGTAACCTTGGTTCTGTCCCAGCTGAATCACACATTTAGTCTTCCATGTGCAAGGTTTTACCTATTAGAAGAACAAACATCAGGATGATTAGACTTCAAATTTAAAAACTGCCTTCATTGTAAATGCATGTTTTAACAAATAGAAAATGGACAGATGCTCTGCAGTGCCTCAGTTTTCCTATAACTGAACCCCAAAGAGAAGTACACATGTATGGATACAGAGTGTCACAAATTAGGTAATCCAGCAGGAGCACAGCTGACAGGCACACCGATTTTCTAGTTGCCCACATCCATTTATTTGTAAGAAATAGAGTTTTAAAAGGAGAGAGAATACATGAGGTGCAATCACACACAGAGTACAGCAGTTGGAAGTCAAACAGCTGTTAAAGAACAGCTTTCATCCTCCTTGCTTTGTATACACCACACTAACAACAACCTGAACACGTGCAGTAACCAATTTGATTGAAGTCACATCCAGTCTCCCCTTCTCTTACTGTTTTACTATTCCAGACCTGGGCTTGATGTACATAACAGTATTACAGAAGTCTGAAGAGGAAGATGCAGCAACCAAAAATAATTTAAAAATAGAATAAAAAAATAGAATCTCAGCATGTGGCACTGAAGTGCATCAGGTGCAGTGATAAACTGTGAAATAATTTGTTAGCTTCCATTTCTACCTCTGTTACTGGCTAAATGACAAAGGATTTGCCATGGTCTATGTGCTGGGGTACACCCTTCTTATTTTACTTCCATTTTTTCCTCTGCAAGCTGTGCAATACATTTTTAAAAATTGTGTGACAACTGTGGCCTTTACACTGTGTGCATCACTTCTCCAGTATCCCTTTTTTCCCCGTAAGAACAGTGAATAGGCAAAGTTGGAGGTTCTGCAGTATACAGATCAGACCTACATCAAATCATTCCCCCTGGCACTGAGCTGATGAATCAATGCACTGAAATATTAAGGGCAAAAAAGACAACCATTAATTTCGAGGTGCCAATCCATGAAGTCTGAACACGTTTTGTTGTTTGTTTTTCTATCCAGTGTGTTTCACATTACAGTTAAAATTTTCTCATACTTCTGTGAATGTAGTGTTTGAGTTTCAAGCTAAGCACCCCAGAAAGGCAATCACTCAGAGGATCCCCTCAGCTGAGGACAGCATCCTTCCCCTCATCCACAGCATCACAGCACAAGAAACGGTGGTTCTCATACTGCCCAACACCACCCCCTGCCCACTTCATACTGGGGACACATCTGACAGCACATAGAGAAGTGCACACAGCAGACAGGCTGCATGCAGAACGAGCAACGGCTGAAAGGGACTGACTTGGCTTGGAGCATCCTCCAGCAGATGTGACCCCCGGGACCTGGCTTTGCTCAGGTTTCGCTCAAGTGACAGCTGTGTGACACAAACACGCTTTTTCCTTTTCTTCTGTGCTAAAGCCAAAACCCTGAAGCACTTGTGTGACAAGAGAGTTTTATCTCACACCCGCTCTTTCTCACGACAACCTAAGAAATGGCCACAATCTGCTGAGAAGGAAGTACTTTACACAAGAACTAAGTTCTAAAAGAAATCCCAAAGCATCAGAGCTAGGAAGCCTCAGGACTGCTGTGTTTTGCATAGTGTTTCTGCAGTATCCACTATAATTTATTGAACAGTATTAACAAGTAATGCACAATGACACTGTAATATACTGATGAAACAGTGCTAGCATTAGCTGCTGGGCTCTAACTGCACTGTTTGTTTGCTGAGGGCTTTCCAGAGTTTCTTATCCAACATGACCTGGGGTCAACAGGGACAGGGCTGTAGCACATTCAGCTTCAACAAAGGCGTTTTGGTGCTTTCAGAATTAACAGGACTTCAATCACCTGTGCAGAGCTGTGGCACACTGTATGTAATCATCCAGAAGGATAAAGTAAGCAGCAGCTTCAGTATCTGAACGTCTGGTTCCGCTACCAAAAGAACACGCAGAGGAAATCTGTCTCTATTTTGGAAAACGAGAAACTTCCCTCCTGTAAGAGCACTGGTTTCATGAGAAGTTGACTACTTCAAAACATCAAGAATGCAAACCTAGGAAAGTGGTGCAAACATACCAGAAAAAAAAAAAAAAATGACAGACTTCTTCATTATACATTTGTTTGTCTTTCAGAGACAAGCAGGTTCTCACTAGTTCAACTACAGGATGACAAGAAAACACCACCAGCCAAACAGATGGCACGAGATGAAAGCACAAACACACACTGAAAGCTTCAACTTTTCCTCCTTTGAAATTAGCTTTTCACAACCTACACACTTACACATCACATAGTATAGCAATTGATGGACAAGCAGGTCTGGGAGAAACAAAGTTTGGAAGAGTTTCAGGAGTCAGGAATCTTATGCAGTGACCTCAATGCCTACAGTCCTGAGTACAGCAGTCAAAAAGCAGTAGTTCTCCAAAGGGGGGGGATTTTTATTTACATATAGTACTTGAACTTCTCAGACCTGTTTGAGAAGCCCAATATAAACCTTTAACAGGAAGAATTTGTGAACTTTGACAAGAAAAAAAGAAATTTCATCTTGATAAATTATGATATTAACATTCTAATTAAAGTCATCTCCACACACAGCATCATACAGATGAGAGGCACAGATTAATGAGAACCATCCCTCAGCAATTTCAAGTAGCCACATCATTTAAAAAAAAAAAAAAAATTATAATTGAAAACATCCATTTCTCATTTCCCTCAAAATGCAATTACTAGTGGAAAAAATCAACCAGTACACTCTGTTTCAATGAAAAATATCCACATGGTGGGCTCTCAATCTTCTGTATCATTTAATCAAGTCTCTACCTCTTGTTGCTCACATTCTAAGACTGACAAGAACCAGTGATGGATGAAAGTGTTGTAGCCATGGAAAAGTAAAGGTGTATTTACCACACACCGTGAAAAAGTCAGAGATTCAAAGATTCAACATTTTTGGTCTTTTTAAAAACTAAACGAAATACAATAAAAACAGCTATGAAAGTCATCCAATTGCACATAATTTAACAAGCTAATCTTCCAAGAATATTACTGCTCCCTAGGCTTTCCTTTGATACCAAAGTAGCCCAGAGCTCTGGGATCAGTTTGCTGAGACAAACAAAAGTGCTGAACATATCTATAAATAATAACTTAAAGCAGACCTCATCCAGTGTCAAAATTGGCAATCTCTACATTGAAATTCACTTGAGCTTCTATCTGCAGTTAAAATTCTAGAGTTCATACCTTGTATTTCTCTGCTACACAAGGTCTAGTATTAAATGTGGAGGTTGGTGGCCCTGCCTGTGGCAGGGGGTTGAACTTGATGACTCGAGGTCCCTTTTAAACCATGCCATTCTATGAGTCTATGATGGGGATCCTCCACAAAGATCATTTAAGAAAGCAACAGCGTTTGCAATCTGAGTATTTGAAGGGATAAGCAAGATCCATGCCAGCTCACAAAGACCTGCTGATGTATTTTGGTGGCAGCCTGCTGAGCAGTGCCTAGCAGAGCCTCACCTTACAGAGCACCATGAAGGCTCTCTGGCAGCTCAGCAGATCTCACTATGAGAGCACTTGCTGTTCAATATTATTCCTCCTTTCACACTCTTTATTCCACACGACATTAGTTTTAGTGATTCTGAGTAATTTCACGTTGAGGATGGCAAGGCTTTGAAAAGCTGAGACACAGTACAAGTACTATCGAGCCACTACTGGCACCACACGCAAATCCATCTAAAGCACCTGAATTAGACTCTAGATACATAAGAATTAACCAATTAAAAGCTAAGAAGCATGACAAAATACAGTTAAAACCCCTACTAAGCAATACAATGACTTGTTCCAAAGAAAAGTTTAAAACGGTGCTCCAAGGAAAACTGCGATCGGCCCGGCTCCTTTGGGGGCTCATTAGATCTTGGTTCCACCGCTGCATGGGAGCACCACTCATTAACGAGCAGCCTTTGCAGGCTCCTAGCGGTTGTTAGGCTGCCTGTGGCTCTCACTCAGCCTCCCTGTCCCTTTAGGGATATCAGCAATAGACAAATCATCCTGATGAAGCTGGGCTGTAAGAATAGAAAGATGAGCAGGAAAGTTTTCAGAGGAACTCCGCTATTAACAAGCCCTAGGTAGGATTAAAGCCATCTGCAGTGCGTCATTAGCAGAGGCTTAATTAAAAGCACCGCAGATATTTCTAACAAAATGAATTTACAAAAGCTTAGAAGAAAAGTAGCAGCAACTGCTCTGCAGAGTTTTACCACAACTTCTTATCTTACTCTATTTATCGCCTTTCAGTTGCAATCCCCTGCTTTACCTGACCATATATCCTTTGTACTTTATATAAGCATGATAGAGCTTTGTGGATACAGGGATGCATGGATGGTTCTGGCTTACAGAGCATCTTTCCTTGCCCTATGCTTTTTCCAGCCCATGTTTTTCCCAGTGGAACAAAGAAAAATTGTAATAACTGGATGCCCTCTCTCACTGTACACTAATCTCTCCACAGACAGCAACACAGTGCACGTCTACCTCACATATTATTCTTGTCATTGAGGTCTTCTCTGGATACGCCAGCACTCTCTGAGCCCAGCACCTGCACAGCTGTAACCACCACAGAACAGAACTCTGCTGAGCCTTTTACCACTGGCAGTTATTTCATGTCAATAAAAGCAGAAAACTTGCAAAATAAATAATTAGGGAACGTAATTTATCTTAAAATTCCTCAGGAAACCTACACTATTTTAAGACCACTAGTTTCTATAGTTCTGCACATTAACCTGTATGCCAGCAATTTGAGAGCCTCTTCAAATCTAGCCAGAGGTCTTTGCTTTGCACACAGTCCGACCACCTGCAGGGACTGCCTGCCTCGATCAACTTTGGTACACCTATGGGAAAGCTTCACAAAGGAACCAGCTTTGCATTCTTTTTCCCTAAATACAGGGGAATGTTTATCAGAATCTTTTTCAACTATTTCAATTAAATCAACTATGTGATAAAAATTCAAATTAGCAAGTCATTATAAGCAATATTAAATCCATTCCAAACTCACATGGAATACAGT